GTGCAGGGACCTTTCACCACGACAGATTGTCTCTCCGGCCTTTTTCCTTCGGTTTCTCCCCCTTATGCCTTTACCCAGTTCAGCACCACCATCAAGTACTACCTAGTAACTTTCTCTTCCTTTCTCTCCCTCTCTCCTCGTCACAATCCATGGCTGTCTTCTTTGGCAGATCAGATCCTCATCATCGTTTCGACTAGTTCCTTCGCCACTTTCGCTACCGGTAGACGCCCTCTCTCACCCTCCTCCGCTGTATTCCCGCCAATGCTTGGCCATAAATCGTCTTTCTCAATGCCATCCTTTCATCATGCATCGCCGAGATCGTCCTCCTCCTCCTCCTCCTCCTCCTCCTCCTCCTCATCATCATCATCATCATCATCATCATCCCTATCATTCGCTCATCATTTGATGCCGGCTCTCACACCCTTCGGAGCCATCGTCAGAAGTTAGGAAAAAGGTAGTCGTCCTCCATAGCCTCCCCGTCGCGCACACGAGCTTCACCCTCGTCCTTTTCCTCCATCGCTTCCTCTTTCCCTCCAGTCTTCTTCTTCTTTTTGCTGCATGACGGGAAACTGTCACGTGTGGTTCTGAGGGCAGGCGTTCTGCACTGACCTCTATCCTACATCAGGATATCTTTTTTTTCTTGATGGTGATTCTGATCTTCGTGTTATGATGTTGGTTCATGGCGTTTTCCTTCTTCTTCTTCTTCTCCTTCTTCTTCTTCTCCTCCTTCGTCTTAGTCTTTCTTGTCAATCCCACGGCCTCATCTCCCTTCTCCTCCTCCTCCTCCTCCAAGTCCTTCGTCCTCTCTCTTCTTGGCGTTCTCCTCCTCCTGCTCTTCTTGTTCCACTTTCCTCGCCCTCATTTTTTCCTGTCTCTCTGTCCCTCTCCTTGTCACTCTCCTCCGCCACCATCGCCGTGTCCTTCTTCTTGCTCTCCCACCTTCCCCGCCATCCTCGTCCTCCTGCACGGCTTTAGTCTTGTTCTTCTTCTCCTCCATCACTTTCTCCCTCTCCCTCGTGCTCCTGCTCCTGCTTCACATTCTTCTTCGCCTGCCTCTTCGTTATGTTTTCCTCGCCCTCCTCGACCGCAATACCTTCATCTTTTTCCTTCCTCTCAGTCCCCCTTCCCCTTCTTGTTCTTCCTCCGCTGGCCGCCATCTCCGCCCTCATCCCAGCTTCGTTGCTTCCTCTCGTTGTCCTTCTCCGGTCTCGCCGTAAGAACCTCCTCCATCATCATCACCTTTTTCTTTCTCCTCGTTCATGTTCTTTCGACCGCATGCTTTTTCTCCCTCGGCTTCTCCTTCTCCTCCTGTTCTTCCCTTTCTCCCCTTCCCCTTTGCTCCTCCCTCGTCACCGTACCTTCTCCTCTTCCCCCTCGTCGAACTGAATCCTTTCCTTCTCTTTTTTCTTTCTGCGGCTCTTGCCCATCGCCATCGCCAAGATCTCCACCTCGATTTCCGGGGTTTCCTTCTCCCTTTCCTTCGCCTCGTTTATTTGTGGTCCGATAGCCCACGGATCGAGGCCAAACTGATTATTAGAACAGGTACTACAGGTGATCTTTAACCAAGAGGCCGAGAAAGGTATTCGCCTCGTTTGTTATCGTACATGCGGAAGTTGTAATGCTTGTTCCATGCAAGCATGTCCTTTGAAGAGCAGTGTTTCGCCTCGAGCCTTAGACCTTCCCCTTCGAAGAGCACGTTAAGTGTCCCCTCCAGCGTAAAGCTATCACTCTTCTCCTTTCCCTTCTTGGCGATTTCCTGACCGTATTCATTTTGTTCCTCTTCCCTCGACCATTTGCTACTTCGTATGCACTCTTCTTCTTTTTCTTCTTCTTCTTCTTCTGTCTGGGGAAAAGCCCCCTGAGGAGTGCCAGGAGCGCAGCGTGGCCTAAACGCGTCGGGGAAATTGCGCGTTTCAAACTGAGAACTAGACATGCATATCTATCGATGCTTGTACGAGAAGCAGTCTGGCCACTGTTTTGCACTCTTCTTCTTCTTCTTCTTATTCAAGTAGGTGGGTGCCGTAAGGCGGATCCGAGGAGAAGGCCCCCGATGAGTGCCAGGTGCGCTTCCTGGCTGAAACGTGCGTAGGGCAATGAGCGCGTTTCTTCTGAGCTCAGTGCGTGCGGTTGAGCATGGAAATTTCTGTTGAAGCATGCACGAAGGACAGTCTATGGCCTCTGTTTATCACTATCACTATTCTTCTTCTTCATCTCCTTCTTGCTGAGGAGAACGTGAAAGAGAGAAACAGAGAGAAAGAGAAGGCAGAGAAGAAGGCAGAAAGTGGAAGAAGATGAAAATACTGAGCTTCACTACAGGCTTTTCCTGCCAGTTGTCCGTGCATACGATTATTACATCTGTGAATGCAGGTACTAGAAGCAGAGTCTACGGCCACTGTTTCCACTATTCTTCTTCTCCTTCATCTCTCTTCTTCTCTTTCTGCTATCTTCATCCCTCATCACTTTGTCCCCAATATCCCGGCTTGTGTCCTCCTCCCCATTTCCTCCTCGGGTCCCTTCTCCTTCCCCTCCTGTTTCTCCTCAGCCATGTCGTCTACGCTCCTCTTTTCGTTCGCTTTCTAGTTTCTCATCCTCTCCCTACGGTCGTCACCCGAATAGAACGCCCGGTCATTATCCCTGCATCAAGACTGAAAATCGCACCAAATACAGCTACGGTGACCGGGCGTTCTGTTCAGGTGAAGACGGTAGGTCCCCGCGATTCCCACCGGGCGTTCTGTATAGTTTTTTTTTTTTTTTTTTTGCTTTGACAAAAATTTCACATCGCGATTTGAACGCACACGTGCACTCACGCCATTTTCCTTCGCCGTAGTAATAGCTTTACGGCCGCTCACCAAAAATAAATAAATAAATAATTACGGTCGTTTCATAGCTTCTCATCTTCTTTCTCTATCGTTGTCTTGTTCGACATTCCGGGTCCCGTTTGTTCAAACGGAACACCTTTATGACGGCCGCGCCTGCTAATGGCACCATGAACCGTTTCAGAGCGACAGCATTTCGTCATCCTTCTCCATAATCGATGACGATCCTGACTGACTAGCCCTACTTCTCCACCATTGTGGCTTTCGCGGTCCCTCCCTTCCTCCCTCTCTTCCCCCTCGCCTTTGAAATTTCAAAATGCCATCGCCCTAGGGCAATATTTACAAGCAGCTTCTCGACAGCACAACCCACCCTACTAGGGAAGAGAAAAACGAAAAATTCGACTTCGCCCCTGTTTAATCACAGACTGGTAATCTCTGCAACCGTCGCCGTCAGATACATCCCAGTTGGGCACAACCCACGCTACCAGGAGTTAGAATAAGGGCATTCTCACATTACGACCTTTTCTTACTTATTACTACGTCGTTGTTGCGGTCAGATACATCCCAGTTGGGCCGTGATTACGGGCAGATACATTTCAGATTGTCCTAGTGGGAGTATGCTCTAAGAAGGCGCATTGTTATTTTGCATCCTAGTGTGAGTATGAAGGCGCATTGTTATTTTGCATCCTAGTGTGAGTATGCTCTAAGAAGGCGCATTGTTATTTTGCATCCTAGTGTGAGTACGCTCTAAGAAGGCGCATTGTTATTTTGCATCCTAGTGTGAGTATGCTCTACGGCGCATTGTTATTTTGCACATCTCTCTCGCACGCTTGTCTTTATCAGTGGCTACTCGACGTAATTAGGGCGCACTCACACTAGGGGGCCCTCAAAATCTCACAAAATCGCAAACTGAGCGGCCAGATCAAGTCCTTCGTTTACAAGAACTCGATCTCGCCACTCATTTTGCGATTTTGCGATTTTCAGGGCCTGGTGCGTATGCCCTTAATGGAGTACTCTGGATACACTTTTTTGGGTTTTTTTTTGTTTTTTTAGGACTTTGGATAAGCTGAAAATGGACCGGAGAAAACGGATTCCCAGCCTCCATTTTTTTGTTTCTCCGGGTTGTTTGTGGAGGGATTCCCGGCCTCACTTTTCTTGTTTCTCATGAAATGCAAAGTTGATGTGTGAGCAAAAAAAAAAGAAAGAAAAAAAGTCTATGTGTGAGCAAAAAAAAAAGAAAGAAAAAAAGTTGGTGTAAAAAAAAAACAAGAAAATGGACCGGAGAAAATTACAGTATTACTACTATTGATCAGATCCCGACGGCGATCTTCGGTGAACCGATCATATAGGACTGATGGAATAGGGGTCCCAACTCATCCGACGACTCACTGAAAATGGTGGCGGAGCTCGACGTGGATGAACTCGGAAGAAGGCACAGAGAGCGCAGGGAACCGCACAACACGCCCGAGGCCAAAAAAAAAAAAAAAAAAAAAAAAAAAAAAAAAAAAAAAAACAGACAAGGCAACAACTAATCGAGAAATATTCAAAGGATTGCGAAAGAAGAGGAAGAACAGAGACAAGCCGTGGCCAGGGCTGCTTTCTTGTGTTTTTCTTTACAGTATCAACGCCTAGGAACTGCCGAGACAATCCCCGCCTGGCGTCCACGCTCTGAGATGAAGGTCTCCGCTCATCATCCAGATTGAGTGACTCGTTCGTATGCGTCGATACAAATGGGAAAGTGTACGACCTGTACAGAACAGATCCTGTTCGAGTACAGTCGTCAGAACTGCTTTCCGCGAATGCTTCGCAATCAATCCGTCACAATTCCGAATTGGCAAGCACAATTCCGCATGCTGCAAGTCCCACTAACGCGCTCATTCCTAAGGGCTTCGACCAGGTGCGCTTCTGGTTCTCATCAGGGGGCTTCCCACGAGCCCGCCTTTCCGCACCACCCATACCTCCTCCTCCGACGGAGTTAGGAGATCGTCGACCTTGCCGCAACAACAGAAGAATACGAGAAGGAAAACAATTCCAACCACACTCCTCCTCCTGCTGCTCCTCCTCCTCCTAGTACTACTTGATAATACTACTATTGCTACGATTATTACTATTACTCAATGCAAGAACCACCAGGTGCGACAAGGAAAAGCGGGAGCGAGATAAAAGACGGTACTAAGAACTTACCTTCCGATATCGGCCATCCCTTTTCTTGATGTCGTAGGCGAGGGGGACGTCGAATCCGTAAGATTTCACATCCGTGACAACGCCCGAAAGGTCATACACTCTCTTTCCCACCCGTTTCAAAATTTCCACCACCTCCCTTTTCGGAACCTGCGGCTTCACCAGACATATGAAGTCGTACAGCGGCATGGTGTTCGTTTCTACGTCCTCCCTTGGTTGGCTGCCTCTAATCAAGCATACGACTTCCACAGTGCGGCGCAGCCAAAGGCAACACGGCTACGGGGAAGCACAAGCGTGGGGGCCTGCCGGCTGAAAGAATCGAAACGCTAAACGGCCGATAACACTTTCCAAGGACACAGGTACGTAGGTGGGTGGATTGGCCTTTCTGATGGTCTGTGAGCAAGCGTCCTGGTCCTTCGGGGGACATCCGTCGATAGGGGGCCCGGTAGCCCTGCGTGGAAGCGCTGCGCTGCCGATGGTATCGCCGTTCGGAAACAGCGGCGCTCTGCGTCGGCAGCAAGGCGCGGGGGCGGAGCTATGGAGTACTCGACACTCTAGAGGTCCGCCCATCTCCCTCAGGCTCGACAAGGGGCTGTGTCTCCCTGTCGAATACCAGGGGGCAGGGAGTTTCCGGATCCCCCTACAACCTTCCACTGTCAGAGTTTAAGCGATTTTAACTTCTGTATGAAGCCCTTATTTGGGTAAATCACACTACCAATGACACACGAAGAAGGGACAGAGAGTCCAGTGGAAGGCGAACAGCCAGTCAGACAGCGGCGCTTCCAGGAGCAGTGGGAGGGCAACTGGCAGCGGTAGAACTGTTGTTGTGAGGCGCACATGCTGCTAAGTACTAGCGACTATCTCAACCAGGAGCGTGAAGACCTGTAAAGGGGCGACGTCACCTTCGGGGAGGGGGAGTTTCACTAGCGGCGGTGGGAGGG